GTGTGTGTGTGTGTGTGTGTGTGTGTGTGTGTGTGTGTGTGTCCTCACCAGGGGACGGTACATCTGGACCCGTGTCTTTCCTCAGCCAGCTCCTGGACCTTGTGGATCCTCTGGGCTTGGATCTGGTACAGGGTTTTGTGACTCGGCAGGCCCACGTCAAACATCCCTTTGGGGTACGGAACTCCCAGTCGGGTCCCCTGACCTCCAGCCAGGAGCAGAACCGCGACCCGGTTCTTGGAGATCTGCAACAATCCTGTGAGACAGAAACACAGAGCAGCTGATCCACCTGCTCCCTACCCTCACTGCACATGTTGCTCCGCCCCTGAAGGGGACCTGGTCAAACCTGGACCAGTACTGATCACAACTGGCTGTCAGAACCGACCCTCAGCTGATGAAGGCTGGGAGGTTCTAGAGGCAGGTCCAATCGGAACCAAAGCTCTTCAACAGTTTGAGACATAAATCTACGTGCTTTTATTCTGAAAGTCTGACCCGGTTCCGGCYGACAGAATCATCCCTTTATCTCACTGAGAGTTCGGACAGTTAATTTAGTTCTGACCAGAACCAGAACCAGAACCACGGGCTCTACAGCCTCTCGGGTTCTGGTTCTGGTTCCGGTCCTRGTTCCGGTCCTCACCTTCGTCCTCCCAGCGGCTGAGGGACTGGGGGTCGCTCCTCTTCACGCTGCCGATGATGTCGGGGGGAACCGGTTCCATGTCCCGGTCCAGTGAGCGGGAGGGCGGGGCGGCGGCGGCCCGGCGGGCCGCCTCGCAGTGCTCCTTCAGGTTCTGCAGGTCCAACAGAACCAGGTCCTGCAGGAAGACCTCCTGCTGCTCCTCGCTCAGCTCCGACCAGAACCGCAGGACGTGAGCCTGTCCCGCAGAGTCCAGACCCTGCTGCAGCTGCTCCAAGCGGGACATGTTGGACCCGGCTGCATCCGAACCCAACCGAACCACGGAGTCAGAGCAGGAAATGAAAAACTCGTGACTGAAGGAGGAAAAGGTCTTCCTAGGTCTGGACCAGAACAGCTGGTTCTGCGACTCATCAGCTGATGTCCTCACGTGACAGAGCGATGACGTCACTCAGACCGGATCACGTGGTTCGTTTAACGGGACAGGACTGGTTCTGAAGGTCCACAGCACAGCGTCCCGCTCAGGTTCTGGTTCTGGACTCTGACTGGACCACTGGACTATGGAGGTAAATTTGTGTTTTTATTATTCAATCAAACAAAAAGCACCTTCAATCAAAAAAAATAATTTCAATCAAAAAAATTTTTTTCATCCAAACAAAAAATAAATTCAATCAAAATTAATATTTTCAACCAAAAAAAATAATTTCAACCAAACTAAAAAAAGCAGTTTCAATATAAAAAAATAATTTCAACCAAAAAAAATAATTTTATCAACCAAACAAAAAAAACTATTTCAATCAGAAAAAAAAATAAACCTATCAAAACGTTTTTTTGCAAAAAAATTAACCTTTTGGTTGAATCTCAAGTTTTTGGTTGACTGTCTAAGTTTTTGGTTGACTTTCTAAGTTTTTGGTTGACTTTCTAAGTTTTTGGTTGAACTCAAAAAAGTTTTGAACTCAAAAGTCACAATCGGGGTTAGTGGTGCAGGGAGTAGAGCAGCCACCTTGTGATCGGAAGATGGCCGGTTCAACTCCAGCTTGGTG